ACGAAACAGAGATCACAAACAATTGAAGATATGGGTAAGTTGTTGGTGTGGATCAACAAGAAACAGTTAGCGGGAGATAGTGTTGTGAAGTCAATCATTTGCGAAAAGGTAAGGCAGTTGCATGCGAATCTCGTGAAGAAAATGCCTGGAAAGAGTGCTGATGTTAGTGAATTTAAGGCTATCAAAGGCTGGTTCAACAGATTCAAGAAGTGTAGTGGCATACACAGTGTTGTAAGGCATGGTAAGGCTGCAAGTTCAGACAAACATGCAGCCGAAGAATTCGTTGATGAATTCAAAAGGTATGTAGAGGTTAAAAGATTTGTCCCCCAGCAAGTGTTCAATTGCGACAAAACAGGCCTCTTTTGGAAGAAAATGCCAAAGAGGACCTACATCATGCAGGAGGAAAAGGCACTGCCAGGACAAGCCTATGAAAGATAGGCTAACTCTTTTGTTCTGTGGTAACACTAGTGGGGATTTCAAAGTGAAGCCTTTACTGGAGCATCATTCTGAAAATCCCAGTGTGTTCAAGAAAAACAATGTCATCAAGAGTAAATTGTGTGTGATGTGGAAAGCTAATAATAAGGCATGGGTCATTAGGCAAATTTTCATTGACTGGGTCCATGAAGTGTTTGGCCCGAGTGTGAAAAAATACCTCCTGGAAAATAACTTGCCACTCAAGTGCCTCCTGGTACTGGACAATGCTCCTGCTAATCCTCCAGACTTGGAAGACCAATTGTTTAGGGACTTCAGCTTTATAACAGTGAGGTTCTTGCTTCCTAACACCACACCTTTCATCCAGCTCATGGACCAGCAGGTCATTTCTAACTTCAAAAAACTACACCAAAGCAATGTTTCAAAGGTGCTTTGAAGTGACTTCAGACACTGAATTGACCCTAAGAGAGTTTTTGAGGGATCACTTCAATATCCTCCACTGCATAAGCCTTATAGGTAAGGCTTGGCAGGAAGTGACTTTCAGGACTTTGAACTTTGCTTGGAGAAAATTGTGGCCAGAATGTGTCCAAGAGAAGGATTTTGAAGGGTTTGAGGCTGACCCTGTCGAACCTACGCCCGTTGTGGAATGTATTGTGTCTTTGGGGAAGTCCACAGGGTTGGATGTGAGTGGCCAGGATGTGGGAGAGCTGGTGGAGGACCACTGAAGAGCTGCAAGACCTTCACCTGGAACAGCAACAGACCACAGCTGAGGAAATTGCTTCAGAGGAGGAGGAAGAGAGGGGAGAAGGTGCCTTATTCAGTGATTAAGGACGTGTGCAAAATGGAATGAGTTGCAAATTTTTGTTGAAAAATATCACCCTAACAAAGCTGATACAAGCCGTATCTGCAACATGTTCAGTGACAATACTTTGTCCCATTTTAGGCAAATCTTAAAGAGATGCCAGAAACAGAGCTCTCTGGACAGATTTTTAATGTGACAGGGATCCAGTGCCAGTAAAAAACAAAGAAGGAAAGTAATCCCACAGAGGGCTTTGATACCTGAAGTCCTTATGGAGGGGGATATCCCTTCCAAACAATACCCTCAACTCTCTCTCCCCTACTTGCCTTCTTCAATACGCCAACAAGAGTCATCATTAAAGGTATGTAATGATCATTTATCATTAAAATTAGTCATTTATATTTATTTCTCATTGTTTTCTGTATATAAAACTATAATTATTGTTTAAAATGTATTTTTTTTTAATATTTTTGGGTGTCTGGAACGGATTAATTGTATTTACATTATTTCTTATAGGAAATATTAATTCAGTTGTCATACGTTTCGGATTTAGACCGACATTCTGGAACGGATTAAGTACAAAAAGCAGAGTTCCACCGTATTTTTAGAAGGAATGACGCTCTGAGTGAAGGCATATTAACCCTTTCAGGGTTTCTGATGTACTAGTACGGCTTAGGCACCAGGGTTTTTGACATACTAGTACGCCTAAATTCTAGCGCCCTCAAATCTAGTGAAAGCTGGTAGGCCTACATATGAAAGAATGGGTTTGTGGTCAGTGTGTGCAGTATAAAAAGAATCCTGCAGCACACAGTGCATAACGAGAAATAAAAAACTGACTGTTTTTGGTTTAACCCTTTCAGGGTTTCGGATGTACTAGTACGGCTTACGCACCAGGGTTTTTGACATACTAGTACGCCTAAATTCTAGTGCCTTTAAATTTAGTGAGAGAAAGCTGGTAGGCCTACATATGAAAGAATGGGTCTATGTGGTCAGTGTTTACCTGGAGAGAGTTCCGGGGGTCAACGCCCCCGCGGCCTGGTCTGTGACCAGGCCTCCTGGTGTGCACAGTATAAAAAAAATCCTGCAGCACACAGTGTGTAATTAGAAAAAAAAAACTTTGACCGTGTTTTTGGATTAAAACAGCGACTTTGCACTGTATTTTCGTATGGTATTTATTGTTGTATTCCAGTTTTCCTGGTCTCATTTTATAGAATGGAAGACATATTACAGAAATCGAGATGATTTTGACTGGTTTCACAATGAAAAGTACCTTGAAATTGAGCTCGAAGTAGCAGAAATCTTTGATCCCCGCCAAAGTTCAAAAGTAAACAAATCATGCTATGCTTCCAATACACGTCAACTGGTGAGTCTAATATTCTTTCACAAGTGTGACTGTCATGCATGTGAGATATCAGTGAGGCACAGTGAATCCCCAACTTACAATCGAGTATTTGGGAACCACACGACTTATGATCACCAATCAGCAAAAGTTATCAATACAGATACTCCAACAATTTAAAAAAAAAAAATTCAGATATTTTTCACCAAAGGCATTGATGATAATGTGTGTAGTATGTTAATTTTTTGCGACTCCATATTTTTTTCTAGAACTGTGCCTAGGTTTTCTGCTCCAAACTCTTCAAGAAGTTTGAAAAATAAGTTAACATTCATATTAAATGTCCTGTATAGTGGTCCTTTGAATGGTGATATTAATCCATTCCAGAAGTCATACCATGCATACCTAAAACTATCTAAATTCAAATCCCAAAATACAGTGGTACCTTGGGATACGAATTTTTTTCGTTCCAGAAGGTTGTTCGAGTGCCGATACCAAATGAATTTGTTCCCATAAGGAATAATGTAAATCAGATTAATCCGTTTCAGACCCCTAAAAATACACTTACAAAGCACTTACGTACATGCACTTACAAAAATGTTCGAGTTTTGAGCTGTTCGTATCCTGAGGTACCACTGTACATGGTTTCATGGTACAGGTTGGCCATCACTAATCCGGCATCATTGGGACCTGAAGTGTGCCGGATTAGTGAGTTTGCCAGATTACAGAGTGGTTAGGTTAGAATGCTCTTAATTAACCTATCAATGAAGATGGCTACATCTTCCTCATTTTCATCACTGCTTTCTCTTCCACTGGCTTGTTGCTGTGGATTTACAACTATCTGCACAATTTCCGAGTCAGTATTATGATGAAATTTGAGTTAGTATTATGATTTGAGTCAGTATAATGATGAAATCTGAAATTATGCTAACCAAAATTAGTGCCGGATTACTGATGGAACCGGATAACTGATTGCCGGATTAGTGATGGCCAACCTGTAATTCATTCCAAAACCCTAGAAGTGCAGCTTGCATTCCACCCTAGACTTGAGGAGTTGGTGGTATAGTGGTGGAGAGTGTGGAGAGAAGGTTACTGGTTGCAAGGAGAAGCTCCTTCCAATTGCCGCCTCTTGAAAAAACTGTCAAGAGTTGTTTCTGTTGCTTTCTTCTGAGGCTCTTAAAATAAGACAAAGCATTAGGCATCTTCAAAAATCACAGAAAGTGAGTTCAGTTTCTCAATGTCAGGGCGTTTTCTTAAGATTCTTTTTCACACCTTCCCAATGAGTAAACAACTGAATTTCTCCAGCTATTTTTTTTATGGTAATCCTCCTCCATTTCTTCCTCCCCACTGTCTTCCTCATTCACCTCTTCTAATGCCTGCAGTTCCTCTGTAGTCAACTCCTGTCTGTGGTCCTGAGCTAACTTCTCTACATCCTCTTCAATAACCTCTAGCCCCATTGCTTCACCAAGAGCAACAATCTCCTGGTTTACTTTCCCCTCAGCCTCAAATCCTTCAAAGTCATAGGTGACTGAAGAACACACATTCTTCCAGGCTGCAATGAGTCACCAAGTGTAAAATTTATATCAGAAATTCACTTTGAGTGACAATCTAAGATGCTAAAGCTGGTTTTCAGAATTCCTTGAGGCTGATGGCTCCATTTCCTGAAGGATCTGCAAAGCAAATCTTCTTGAAATTCAATCGTCCATTGGTCCACAAGCTGAAGCAGAGGAGTGGGGTTGGGCGAGAGGAATTTAACTGAAACAAAATTAAATTCTGCTTCCAGAGATTGGGCAAGTTTTGGATCATGTCCTGGAGCATTATCCAACAGTAACAATTCCTTTACAAGAAGCTTATTAATGTGAAAGTAGTTCTTGATTGAAAGACATTACATTTCCTGGGCCCATTCACTGAAGAATTGCCTTGATTTTCTCAACTTCTTGCTTGATTGTCAAAGAAATTGTCTGTTTAGAGTGCACTTTAGGGGGCATGATGACTAACACAAAAGATGGCCTAATTAACAAATGCAGTTATAAAGAGTAAATAATCCAGAGTTGGTGCTGGCAATACATGTGGTTGCTTCCAACTATAGAAGAAATAACAAACTTCAGTATAAACACTGCTATTGGCTGAGAAGCTACCCCAGAGACATTTGTTTCCATTGCTGATTGGCTGCTAAGCTACTATCATTGATGCTCCAATTAGCTCAGATGCTGCCCAAGAGGCAAGTTACCATAACACTGGTTGGCTGAGGTCCTCCCACACATGTTGATCATCATGTGTGTGTCATATCCCAAATTTTTCCAACAAGACCATCATAACTCAAGGGACCACAGTATAATGTTACTGTATGAAGAATGAACAAAAACTTCAAAGATACTTGAATAAATGCAGTGTATATACATACCAATAGAGTTTATATCTGATAACACTAACCTGATTCTTCTCAATAATTTTGTTGAGCATGATGATGCCTTTAACTTTCTGCTGCCATACCATCAACCAGAAGTGTGGAGTGGTATGTGATAAGGGCCCCTGAGTCAAGATATATGACCGATTCACACATTCTACCTATTAAGAAAATAATCCCCATGTCACTCTCTGCAGCACAAAGAAATCTGAAGGAAACTGCAAGATCAATACAATCAACAGTGAATGGTATATGGTTTCAAAAAGTAATTTATTTCAAACATTTAAGAAAATTAATACTTTCATGATTTCTGTAGTTAGATTTTTCTGTTTTTATTTTTTTACCACAATTCAAGAACAAATAAAAAAAAATTATTAATACCATATTCATAATAAGTATTCATAAAGCATACAAGTTAATATACCTCCTTAATTTTTCACATTAACTGCATTACATTACACTCGCCTTCTTTTCAATAACTACTACTTAATTTTAAAGATTTCTTAAGCCTTTATATTTATTTTAACTAAATCATATCTTAATGCTAAATACAAAAATAATAAAACATTAAAAGCTTTAATTAATGACAAATTTTTCAATTCAGTATGTTTTAGACATTTAAAAAATTTAATATAAAGTAAGCTGATCTAACATCACTCAATTCTCCCTTAACCCTCTCACTGTCGGTCACACAGATCTCTGTCAGTGGGCTCAGTATCACTCGCATAGATCTACACAATTCATAGTGCCCTAAAATTTGCTGTGAGCAGCAAATTTTGGCCTAGACATGAGAGAACGGTTCTGTGCAGTGGGTGTGCACAGTATAAAGAAAAAATTCTGACTCGCACAACTCATAAAGGAACCAGCTAACCTCTCAACTCCTGCAAATGGGTTAAAATAACAAATCTGGAGCAATTTTTAGGATGGTTTTCAAGATTTTATTGGCTGTTTCTAGGTGTTGGTAGATAGACCCTGATACATGCTAGTGAAATGGAGAAAATTTTAGTCAGTTCCAGACTGGAAGTGGCCTGCATATAGGCCTCAAAATGGTGGAAATTATAATTTTTTGGCAATTTTTTTCCTGAAGGGTAGGGTCCCCCCTTCCCTCAGGTCTGTTTCGAGTACTGGGATGGCCTAAACCATGAATAAGCATTTTTGGTTATGGTTTATTAGCTGAGATATAGGAGTGAAAACCTTATTTTTTGTGAAACAATGGATTCAAAATGGAAGCCAAGTTTTATGTAAGAGAAGCCAGGGATTGTAATTAATGAACAGAGAAAAAGCTGATTACTTTAGTGCCTAGAATGCCAACAGTGTGTTCTGGACTCCACTTTTAAATTGGATTTTGCTGAAAATTGTGCTATTGTGGGTGCTTAGTGTAGCTGTGGTGGTTGAATTGCAAGTTACTTGGGATCAATGGAAAGTATGGAAAGTGTACTAGTGAAATAGCCAAGAACTGGGTCAGTTTTAGAAATGGAATTAGCCAAAATAGGCCCCAAATTGGGCAAAATCACTGTTGCTGGTAAAATATTTCACAATCTCCAACTTTGCACCTGTGCAATTCCATAAGTATTATTTTTTTTTTTATAATGTTTGATGTTATTACCTCTAGTAAAAGATTCTTTACCATTCGAGAAGATAATTTTTTTTTTCAAAAGTGGTAACACAGAAGGTGCTTTCAGTGTGAGGGATATCGACAGTGAAAGGGTTAAAATAACACTAGACAATCTTATTACATTATTTTATAAGGAAAAATAAAACTATTATGAATAAACAAACCTTAACAAGAGAAGCATTGATATAATTAGTATTGTTGCCAGTAAGAACAATTCTGGAGTGATCATATGGAAGGACATCCCGGTACCGATTTAAGTTTCTATTGCCTGGTGCTTTGGCCTCTGTACAGGACAAATCGAAAGTGCCTTCACTTCGTATTCGCTGAAAAGGAAATTTATACTTAAATATGAACTAACACATCCTATATTTCATATTTTAAAATGAAAATGAAAATTTTTTTGTGAAACAAAAAAATGTAAGGTAAATGTCACTTAATACTGCATTTGGAAATATATAACATACAGCATACTGCATTTTTATCTTAAATCAAGCTTAATTATACTAATTCTGCCAAGACTAGACCAACAAACAGTGTAAGGTAAGTATGACTTAATATCTAGCAATAAATGTACAGTATACTGCATTTTAATCTCAGTCAAGCTTAATTAATCCTGGCAAGATTAGACCAACAAATTATTAAAGCACAACATATCCAATGTCTAGAACTCAAACAAGGCTCAAGGGACAAGTAATACAATAAATCCTCGATATAACAGACCTCAATATAAAATACTATTAAAATAATGGGTAAAATATGTTGAAGGATACCTGAAGGACATTTTCAGGGGTCAGTGTCCTTGTGGCCTGGTCCCAGACCAGGCACTTCAAACTCCTCTAACTTTCAATGCTAATCACAGTATAATTGTAAATTGTGTGTACAGTGCACATACACTGTAAAATACCTAAGTGCTATGTTTTCTTTGTTATTTTTTAACATTACTTTGATTTAATGGGCACTTGGGACAATTCCCCCAATTAGTCCGTTATATGGAGGGTTTGTACACAAGCAAATTATAAAGGATACATTTGGTAAATAGCCAACAAAGCAGTCTTGCAGCAGTTTTGTCTGCTTTATTAAGGAAATGAATATTTTTAGTTGGAAAAATGTATGAACATAATGTATGTTTACAAAAAAGCTAATAAAATTCTAGTGTCATACAGCACAGTACTTGAATTGTATACATCTTTGGTAAGGTCTCATTTACATTATGCTTCTCAATTCTGGTATCCATATTACAAAATGGACATAATGGACATATATATCTAGCTCTAAAAACAGAGATGAAACTTAACTGATTTGTTACCATTAATGTACAAAAAAGCAGCTAATGTACTATCACCCATTACTGCAACACTGTTCAGCAAATCATTAGAAACCAGAACTTTCACAACAATGCTTAACAGAGCAAGGGTTACACCAATGCATAAAGGAGGTATCCAACTGATGTAAATAACTTCAGTCCAATATCTAATTTGCCACTGTTAACTAAAACCTTTAAAAAATTAATTCATATGAGAGTTTACTCTATCCTAGTGTCCCTTGCCAGTTCAGTTTCAGGCCAAGAAAAAGTACAACTGATGCAAAATAATGAACAATCTCTAGTCTTCTTCATAAACCTTTGGAAAGCTTTGATACAATGGACCATAACATCCAGCATCTTAAACTTAATGTCTTATCTTAGTAGCAGACACCATTGTCTCCATCAATGGAGTGCCTCAGGGCAGTGTTCCTGGCCATTTGCATTTCAACAACATTGTTGATGAAGAGCTCTTAACCCTTTCAGGGTTTCTGACATACTAGTACGGTTTATGCACCAGGGTTATTGACGTTCTAGTACGCCTAAATTCTAGCGCCTTCAAATCTAGCAAGAGAAAGCTGGTAGGCCTACATATGAAAGAATTGGTCTATGTGGTCAGTGTGCACAGTATAAAAAAAAATCCTGCAGTACACAGTGCGTAATGAGAAAAAAAACTGACCGTGTTTTTGGTTTAAAACAGCGACTTTGCACTGTATTTTCGTATGGTATTTATGGTTGTATTCTAGTTTTCCTGGTCTCGTTTTATAGAATGGAAGACATATTACAGAAATTGAGATGATTCTGATTGGTTTCACAATCAAAAGTACCTTGAAATTGAGCTCAAAGTAGCAGAAATGTTCGATTTTTGCCAAAATTAAATACATGTCAACTGGTGAGTCTAATATTCTTTCACAAGTGCACTGATATTATTTATAGCATTTCTACACCATTTCTACACTAATGCAGTAGTCTGCATAACAGTAAATCTATTATTTTGTGAGAATAAAAATTGAAAGTGGAAAGCAAAAGAGATATAAGAGGGGCTTGGGGAAGTGACTAATGAACAGAGAAAATGTTATTTTAGTGCCAGGAATGTCTGTCTTGCTTATTCTGGATCCTATTTGGAAATTGGCGTCTTCTGAAATTTGTGTGAAATTGGCAAAATTGCCAATTTCTGACCACTTTGTTGGATACTTGAAATTGGTAAATGGGTGGTTTCTTATACTCATTCGATAGAAAAAATGGAGTTCTAGCGAAACAGATATGATTTTTGTTGACTAGTACACTGAAATTGGCCGAAAACAGGGCTCAAAGTGGGCGAAATTGCCGATGCGTAAACATAGAGACCACTAACATCGCGAGGGCATAATTCTGTAGGTTTTCCATCAAATTTCATACTTTTGGTGTCATTATGATTGGGAAAAAGATTCTCTATCATTTTACAAGAAAAAAAATTTTTTCCTGAAAAATTTTCGACCCTGAGAACGAGTTTAGGAGACAGCCTCTCGACCCTGAAAAGGTTAAAATAAATCCTGCCCCATACAGTGTATGATGGTGTATTAGGTGTCCTGAAATGCCAGTGGAAGTGGCATTATGCCAACTGTCCATCACAAATGAGTCTACAGAGTTAGACTATTTTCAACTATACTTTGATGAGCCAATAATGAACCTGATTGTTACCCGGACCAACATGTACTACCAGTATACAATGGACCACACAGATGTTTCAGAATCGTCACGTCTGCGCAGGTGGAAAGATACAACTGTGGTTGAAATGTATTTATTCCTTGGGACTATCATGCTTATGCCACACACATATAACAACAATATAGCAAACTACTGGGTTCACAGACCACTTCATCTGTACTTCAGTCTTCCATGACCTCCTTCCCTGCAACAGATTCACTCTGTTGCTACGAATGTTGCACTTCACAGACAGGAATACGCCAAACCGAAATGACCTCCTATACAAAATCCGGGAACTGTTTATGTATCTGAAGCACAAATTCAGTACCTACTTTTATCCATTCAAGAACATTGTTGTTGATGAGTCCTTGATGCTGTTCAAGGGATGACTGTCATCCAAACAATATATACCAAGCAAATGCAATCGCTTTGGGATAAAACTCTGTTATGTATGACTGAGACTGGTATTGTGTTGGATGTCATTATCTACACAGGAAAAAAGACACTCGACGATACAAGGCGCATGTTGGGCATTTTTGGGCATGTTGTTTGCAAGATGATGGAGCCATGCCTTGGCAAGGGTCATACATTGTTCACAGACAACTGGTATACAAGCTCTATGCTCGGTGATTTCCTATGTGTGAACAATACTGATATAGTATGTGGAACAGTGAGAAGTAGAAAACACGTGCCAACGTTCACTGGAGCAAGTCTGGTTGAATCGTTTCATGCCAATGACATGATGGCACTGACATGGCATGACAAATAGGATGTGATATTGCTGTCAAACGTCCACACAAACGAGATGGTACAAACAGGCAGACTGAGCCGGTTCAACAATGAACCTATTGTAAAGCCAGCTGCTGTCATCAACTATACGAACAATATGCGACTAGTCGACAAGTGCGATATGATGATAGAGTTTGTTGACTGTGCGTAGAAGTCACAAGTGGTATATGAAGGTGTTTTTCCACCTTGTAGACACTGCATTGCTCAATGCCTTCAACATCTACGAAGTAAACTGGGAAGCGACAACGATATGCAGAATTAACCCTCAATGTCATCAAGCAGATAGCGAAAAAGTATGGTACCGCACCTATACCTGCCACTCCACAGCAACCTGTCACCCCACAACCAGAGGGGGAAGTGCCCAACCGTATAATCCCTGACTGTTACTGCCTGATACCATTACCATCTACTCCAAAGAAGTATTCTCAGAAAAAGTGTGTTGTGTGTGCTTACACTACACAGCGACCCCGAGTGTGAAAAGACACACGATACATGTGTCAGCAATGTGAGGTGGCACTCTGTATGAACCCATGCTTCTTCGAGTATCATACAGTGGTGGACTTCTAGAAATATAAACGGGACCTGTAAATACGTTGTATAAGTAAACAATAGTATGTGACTGAACCAGGTGTACAAATTCATTTATCAGTGTGAACATGTGTCTGTGACAGTATGATTACTAATTCAGTAGCAAATATGTGTCTCAACAAAAATTGGCTATGAAATCAAAAGATCTAAGAAAACATTATCATCATAATATGAAAAACAACAAAAAAATAGAAAAGAATTGGAAAAAAATGATAAATGTTTATTACTTCTGAAAGTGGCAGTGCTCCATGTTGCTGACACCTCATTTAGCACCAACTTTGCTGGCTTATATCTCGGTAAGTTTTTTTTTTTTTTTTCAACAAGTCGGCCGTCTCCCACCGAGGCAGGGTGACCCAAAAAGAAAGAAAATCCCCAAAAAGAAAATACTTTCATCATCATTCAACACTTTCACCTCACTCACACATAATCACTGTTTTTGCAGAGGTGCTCAGAACACAACAGTTTAGAAGCATATATGTATAAAGATACACAACATATCACTCCAAACTGCTAATATCTCGGTAAGTACTGGCCCTAAAAATTTTTTTTTATCTTAAAACATTTATAAAAATGCACTCTACATTTTAAAAAGAATGTTGTTATATTTCAAAATATTCAGAGCGCTCTGCAGGTGAACGTATATCTACATTTGGACAGTTAAGGGTTAATGTGCCCAAGAGTGATTATTATTAGTATTACATAATGTTTTCCCTCAGCTCAGCAACCACCACTCTATAGCATATAAACATAGCATGTTTATATGCTATGTAGTAATGTGCTTCTTATATAATTTTGAAGAAAATATCATAGATGTATTAATGAAAATGTCTATATTAACATAAAATAGGATATTTAATGTGCCCAAGAGTGATTATTATTATGTATTAGTATTTTTACTATGGCGTTAAGACTAGAGGGACACTCTTAACCCTTTGACTTTCGGTCATATATGTCTTACGA